AAACAGAGTTGTATCCAAGTGTTTGTCTTCAATTCCACCGATCCTGTCTTCTACTGTTTCAAGTCTGCTTCTCAGCCCTTCTTTGACACCATCTATTTCTGAAATCTTGTTGTTTATCTTTTGGATTTCTAATTGTTGTTTTTGTATAATTTCTAGTTGTGAATTTATTTTGACATTTTGTTCCTGCATTATTTTCCTGAAATCTTCAATTTTTTTGGTTGTGTTTTCCATGAATTTGTCTATTTTTTCCTCATTTTTGTCTGCTTTTTGCTTCAGCTCTTGGAGAATTCTGAATATTAGAGATTTGAATTCCCCACCATGTAGTTCTAGTGCCTTTTCTTCCACTGGAAAGTCATCTGGTGTTTTATTTGGATGCCTACTAGAACCATCCTGTCCTGTTTTTGCAAATTTTTTGATATTGTCTGCTGTCTTTGGGGCATTCAGTAGTTGTTTTTCTCATTTACTGGTTGTAGATTTCTTTGTTTCATCCCTTTTTTTAAAATTTGGCTTTGTCTGAGCAGGCGGGCTGTGTGTTCTTTGTTGTTTGCTCATCTGTGGGCACAATACTTTTCGCCTCCTTCTCCAATTGGCAGGGTCAGTCACTCAGATATGGTACAGCAGGGCAGGTCTAGCTAAAGAGAAGTTACTGGGATGGGTTGTTTGTGGCACTTACTACAGCCACCAGAGCGGGTCAGTAATCAGTGCAGGGCAGGTTCCAGTAGGCCTTGCCTGTGCTGCTTGGTGGTGTGATGTTAAGCGCACGGTGCAGGTAGGCAGGATGTAGTGGGGTGATTGTTATGTGTGGAGCTAAGATGGATATGGGAGAGTGGAGAGAGGAACAGGAGCCAAAAACATACAAACAAACAAAAAAGAGTGCTAGCGGAGCTTGCCATTGGAGTGGACAAATGAGAGACTATGAAATGGAGCAAAACATAAAGGGGAAGAAGAAGAAAAAAAAACAAAAGAATAGAATTAATAAATAAAAATCGGAAAAGCTAAAGAACACCAAAGTTCCCAGGGATCCCACCAGTGCGGCTATGAGGTCCGGGGAAGTTGTTCTCAGGTGTTGCAGTACAGCCTGGCTAGAAGAAGTAGAGGTATAGAACGCCAGGTATTCAGGGAACAGAAGGGGAAAGAAGATATAGAGAGACGAGAAACTGAGTAATGAAGAAAGACAAAAAGGGAAAAAGAGGGAAAAGAAAACAAAACAAATTAAAAAAAAAAAAGAACAAGAAAACCCCCCCAAAAAACAGAGGGGGAAAAAAAAACAATGAAAAAAGAAATGTCCTCAGGGATCCCTCTGCACGTCTGTGCAAGCCGAGGGGGTAGTTTGCAAGCCACGCAGCACTGCCTGGCCAGAACATGCTCCCAACTCAAGAAAAGGGAAAGAAAACAAACAAACAAACAATTCAAAACAAACAAATGAACAAAAGCCCTGGGACCCCACCAGTGTGGCAGCCCAGTCCGGTAAGCAGCTCCACACTCAAACGGAGCTCCACAGCCCCTCAGGAAGAAGCAAAGATGGTGCAGGGAGCCAGGTATTTGAGCAAAAGGAGGGGAAGGTGGTGAGAGGAAAGGAAGAAATTAAAAGAAGCAGAAAAAAAGCAACACTAGCATCCAACAAATGGCACTCAGAGCCAGCTAGTGCAGGCTGGTGGAATCCAAGCAGCCAGTATTTCTTGGACAAGAGTCTGTGTCCACAGGAAGCGGAGGAGGCTGAGTGTGGGTGAAGAAGGGTAGGGTGTGGGAAAGCGTATATCACCATTTACTGGAGCTCTGCAGTCCCTCAGGAAGAAGCAAAGATGGCACACGGAGCCAGGTATTTTAGCGAAAGGAGGGGAAAGTGGTGAGAGGTAAGGAAGAAATCAAAAGAAGTGGAAAAAAGCAACACCCGCAGCCAACAAATTGCACTCAGAGAGCCGGCCTGTTTGGGTGAGTGGAATCCAAGCAGCCGGTGCTTCCCAGACAAGAGATTGTGGCCACGGGAAGCAGAGGAGGCCGAGTGGGGGTGAAGAAGGGTGGGGGGTGGGAAAGCGTATGTCTCAAATTACCAGTTGTTTTGTCTCCTGTTGGTAGCTCCCTGAAGCTGCTTTCTCATACCCCGTTTGCTGGTCTTCGATAGGAGTCCAAGATGGCAGATCTGCGCTGTGTTAGCTTATAGGGGAGCTCTGCATGAATCTCTCCTCGCTCTCCGTTCTGTCAGTTTTTTCACTCCGTTTGGTGCTTGGCTGAGTTCTTTATCTCTTCATTTGATGTTTTAAGGTTTCAGGATTGTTGTTTTCCCTGTTGGGCTTAGTTTTTCGGATCTTTGCTGTGGAGGGATGGCATGGTGCTTCTGCCTAGAGCGCCATTTTGCCAGAAGTCCAAGACAATTTCTTTTAAGGGATTAAATACCAGTTCAGTAAGCATGTTTGGTGTCAGTTTGTTCTAATCTTTCTGTCCTATTTCCAAAAAAAAAAAGAGAAAAAAGTAATCCTTAAAAAAGAACAAAAGTAAGTATTTTAAAAGGAACATTCTGATTGCCAGAATCTGAAGTTTACTTCAGATTTGATATGAAATGAGAAGAACTAGGGTTCAGTTTTTTGACACCAGCATAAATTCCTTGCTTTTCATTGACTCCACCTAGTTAATAAATGAGACTGAAATATCGTATTCTTCCTGGCCAGAATTAAAAAAACTTAAACGTCCATAAAAATCCCTATGCTATGAAATAAATCTTAGGTTCACTTTTTAAGGATCTAGAAGGGTCTAGAAAAAATAAGGCTATAGATGTAATAAAATGAAATGCCCATTACCTTTGTATTCTATTAATCTCAACTCACCCCCACCTACCTCCTATTTTGTTATATTTTCTCAGGGAAGCAAAACAATTTGTAAATGCAAATGAAGGGGCTCTTGGGAAAGGAAAAGGAAAACAGTGGTTTGCATTTAAGATGATGATGGCCAAGGTAAGTATTCTCATAATCCAGTTTGGTTTATGCCATGTATTCTCAGTGGGTGCCCCCGAGTGTGTGAAAATGGTTTTTGACAGTGGTGGTGGTAGGGGACGTGTGAAAAAAACTTACCCTTTTTATGTATAAAACAAAGATACCCATACAGTACATATACAGTATATACGTGATACAAAAAGGCACCTTAAACTCATTGCCATCGAGTTGATGCCAACTCATAGTGATGCCAACTCATGCCTCGTAGGGTTTCCAAGGAGCAGTTGGTGGATTCAAACTGCTGACCTTTTGGTTAGCAGCCCAACTCTTAACCACTACGCTACCAGAGTTTCCATAATATTTACTTAGCACTTACGATATGCCAAGCAGAGTCCCTGGGTGGTGCAAATTATTTACATGCTTGGGCTACTAACCAAGAGGGTGGTGGTTCCAGTCCACCCAGAGGTGCTTTGGAAGAAAGGCCTGGTGATCTACTTCCTAAAAAAATATTGCCCATGGAAAACTCTATGGAGAATAGTTTTACTCTGACACACGTGGGGGTGCCATCAGTCAGAATCCACTTAATGACAACTGTTTTTTTTTAACATACTAAGCACTGAAGCCTGGTGGCACTGTGGTTAAGAACTACAGCTGCTAACCAAAATGTCGACAGTTAGAATCCACCAGCTGCTCCTTGGAAACTCTATAGGGCAGTTCTACTCTGTCCTATAGAGTCTCTATGAGTCAGAATCTACTCGATGGCAACTTTTTTTTTTTTTTCCTAATTTACAGATGATTTATATCACCTGGAAGCCAAATGTATTTCCCATAGAGATAGTGCTTTCTAAATAAAGAAATAATTTTCATTCAAGGCCTATTAACTCAGGACATTCTGGTTTTATTTTCCACTTTCTCTTCCGCTATTCTACCACTCTTCCTGCACATTTTAAGCTGAATTAAATCTCCTCTGTTTTACATAAAGAACATTCTATGGCTTAAAGTGCAACCCTCCCAAACAGAAATAGGCACTTTTTGGTCAGATTCTGCAAGATGGGCTGCTTACCTGAGATTTCTATTCTGAGTAGCAAGATGGAGACCGATGTATCTGAGTCTGTCTAATTCAACCACTTTTTGCAATAGGATTTAAAAGTTCTTTTTACTTGGAACTTGATAATATGAACAAGAGTGTCTGCATAAAAATTAAACCCATATTCTAGAATAAACTAAATACATATTTGCTTCACCGTTAAACTTACGTGTGAAAACAAATGTAGCCAAATTATAGATCATAAATTCCAAACTTCTCCTTTCACTAAGGTATTGTTGAAATACTTAGCAGAGAGTGTCTAAAATCAAACAAACACACAAATAAACAACACAACCACCACCAAAAAAACCCAGTTGTCATTGAATCAATTCCAATTCATGACAACCCCATGTGTGTCAGAGTAGAACTGTGCTCCATAGGGTTTTCAGTGGCTGATTTTTTGGAAGTTGATGGCCAGGTCTTTCTTCCAAGAAGCTTCTGGGTGGATTTGAACATCCAGCCTTTTGGTTAACAGCCGTGTACGTTAACCATGTTCACCACCAGCTTAGGTGTGTATTATTTTCTATTCCAATCTGGGAGGCCCACAGTCAGAATTGCCTTATAGATAGAATTTGTTTTGCATTGTACTTTTTTTTTTTTTTTTTTTTGCATTAGTTTCCAACATTAAAAAAACGTTGAAAAAGATTTCAAATAAAAAGCTGGATTTCTAGTCTGTCTTGAAACAATAAAAGGGCTGCCAATAATGGGCCAATATTCCCGCTTGGCAGCAATGAGCTACAGCTGAGCAGCCAGGTGTCACCTTTAGATGGGCGTGTGGATCCCATCACGCAGAATCCCCACCACTTTACATCCAGGTTGCTTTGCTAACAAAGGTTCATTGCTTGGTTTTTTAAATTTTTTTTATTGTACTTTAGATGAAGGTTTATAGAACAGATAGTTTCTTCTTAATAACAGTCAGTACACATATTGTTTTATGACATTGGTTCACAACCCCACGACAGGTCAACACTCTCCCTTCTCGACCTTGGAGGACCTTTTTTTTTTGGTGAAAATGTACATTCATTGTTTGGTTCTTGTGAGCATTTGAGTTTGCACTCCTGCTGGCTGGCTTCAGGGCTACTTTGATAAATTTGGAGTTCACAAACTCTCGGTTGTGATTACAGTGTCTTATGATATCTAAACTTCATCAACTGCATTTTTAGCTATTTTTCTTTTGTTCATAAATCCTTTGAAATATAGGGAAAAAAGGCTGTCATAGAGTCTTACTCAGCATCCTCTCTTAAAATTGTCCCAGAAGATTTCCTGTAAAATATCCACATCTTCCTGGGAATACATCCTACGTAAATGCTTTTCTCTCTGTGGTGGGAGGGGGCTTTATAGATTTCTCCACTTTAAAGTGAAAATACAAAAACCTTTAGCTCATGCATTCTTAACAGGGGTGATATTGCCATCAAGGGGCCAAAAACTGATTCTCAGAGGGGGCAAAAAACTTGTTCTTTTTATGTATAAAACACATATCATACCTAAGCAGATATAAAATATATTTCTGGTATTAAAATTCGTAGGGGGAAAAAAAGGCAGAGAAACACTGCTTTAAACTGAGTGTAATCTGGGTCAGTATCCCACTGGTTCTTGTAAACCCTTCCTTCTATAGTTTCTTCTGGGGTTAAAAGGTGTGCACTGGCCAGCTCACTGGAATTTTCTACTTGACTGTTTCATGACTACTTAGCAGTACAAACAAGGCTACATTTCCTCCTGCTGGTTTTTCAACCTGGAATTCTCTTTTTTGATACTCTACATGGCTACACTTTACCCATCTTTTCAAGGTCTTAGTAAGTTCCTTTAAGGATGATGCCAGGCTCAAAAACTCTCATTCCTCTAAAGTACCCATAGCAATTTCCACAGACCTCTCCATGCCCACTCTTATTACTTTCTACCCCGTGTTACATCATTTCTCTCCACATCTTCCCTTGTCTTCTTGTCTATAAGCTCCTTGAAGACATGTTTCATACGTGACATATTATTAACCAATAACAGTGTCCAGAATATTGTTCCCAAATACTTGTAGAGTGAATGGATATATGCATATGTTCTAGATTGTGCAAAAAGTATTTGTAGCATTCAGCACTGATTCTGGCATTTAATAATCACTAAATTAATATGTTTCAAATGGAGAAAACGTTTATATATAGCTACATCATCAACATACCCAAGTGACCTGAACGAAAACTCTAGCTAGTAAAACATGCTGCCTTTCTGTTCAAATCTGCTTGCCTTCTCTAATACATAAACGTTTCAGTGTGCCAATGTGCCCAAAAAAAGACAAGCAACTTAAATAGTAGCAGAGATTTCCTGAACATCATCATCCTGATCTTCATCATCAGAGTTATCATCACGTTTATTGCTAAACTGCACATAATCTCAATATACTTTTCTAATCATCTTTCAAGTTTCTAGATAAGGCTTACCTCTTCTTTTTTGTGCACAGCTGGGTATCTAGGCTACTTTCCTCTTCCAGTAATATTCTTGGTCTGCCTTTTGCTTTGCCTTTCAATTTAAGATGGGAGAGTATACGCACACATACACACACACAAAATGAGTTAAATGCTTTGCATTTATTTTACAGTTTTATTAAGATATAATTTACATACCATACAACTCACACATTAATTAAAATGTACAATTCAGTGATTTTCAGTATATTCACAGAGTTGCACAGCCATCATTGCAATCTTTTTTAGAACGCTTTCATTACCCTAAAAAGAAACTCCATACCCATTAGTAGTCACTTATCATTATCAAGTCTTCCAATCCATGAACATAGGATGTCTTTCTATTTATTTAGGTCATCTTTAATGTCTTTCAACAATCTCTTGTGGTTTTCAGAGTTTTTGTACTTAATTCTTTGTGATGCTATTGAATGGAATGTTTTCTTAATTTTATTTTTGAATTGTTTATTTTTAGTCTACAGAAGTACAATTGATTTTTTTAAAACATTTATCATATCCTGCAATCTTGCTGAACTCATTTATTCTATTAGATTTTTTTTTTAATGGGTTCCTTTGAATTTCCTATAACGACATCATATCATATACAAATAGATAAGGTTTTACTTCTTTTCTTTTCAATGTGTATGCCTTTTACTTCTCTTTATTGACTAATTGTCCTCACTAGAACTTCTAGCCCAATATTTAATAGAAGTGGCAAGAGTGGATATCATTGTCTTGTTCCTTATCTTACCACGAAAGCATTCAGTCTGGGTTTTTTTTTCTAAAAGATGCCCTTCATGAGTTTTACAAGTTCCCTTGTATTTCTAGTTCATTTAATGTTTTTACCATCAAAGGATGTTGGATTTTTGTCAAATGCTTTTTCTGAATCTATTGAACTTATCAGGTAGTTTGAATCCTTTATTCTGTTGATATGCTGTATTATGTCAATTAATTATTGGATGTTAAACTAACTTTGCATTCCTGACATAAATCCTGCTTGGATGGTATATAATATTTTCTATATGTTGCTGGATTTGGTTTATTAGCATTTTGTTGAGAATTTTACCATCCGCATTCATAAGAGATAATTAGTTTATAGTGGTTTTTTTTTCCTTGTGAAGTTTTGGAATCAAGGTTTAGTTACTTTTAAAGTAAATTTTATTGACATGTAACATACATTTAGATAAGCATACAAACCATAATTGTATAGCTCAATGAATTTTTATAAAGTATAATACTCTTCTGTATCTTTGACCAAGATAAAGAAATAGAACATGATCAGAATTCCAGAAACTCCCTTATATACACTTGCAGCCATTAGCTCTCCTCTAAAAGAAAAAATTTGACTTCTAGCACCATAGATTATTTTTGCCAGTTTTTAAAATTTAAATAAATGTAATCCTATAGTAATAGCATTTTTTTGTCTGGCTTCTTTGATGCAATATTATGTTTATGAGATACATCCTTGTTGTGATTATACTCCATTTTTTATTGATGTGTTGTATTCCATTGCATGAAGATACCACAGTTTATTTTTTCGTTCTATTGTAGATGGACATTTGGGAAGTTTCTAGATTTGAGTAATCTTTTGAACTTGTCTCATACTGTTATTTAGGCTCCATGTGCCTGTTAAGGATCACACATTATTCCAGCATAATGTGCAGATATACTAAATCATATGCCCCATTACCATTTTTTATAGTGGGTCCTTTGACTATGAATAACCCAACCCTATGGAGTAAAATGGAAGAAGATCTTTCAGTAAAACCAGTTTATGACTTTTTTTTCTTCCTCGTCTTATGACACCATGTCTTTTCATTTAGCTGACTGCTCTGCCTCTAGTAAAATGAAAAGTATCCCATGCCATAGCACTGACTGCACTGTATTGTTATTATCTGTTTACATGCAGTCTACTCTAGTAGAGTAGGCAGGAACTCTGTCATATTTGTATTTCATTAATTTCTTTATGCAACAAGTATTAATTAAGCATATACTATGTGCCCATCACTTTATTAGGCACTAACTTAGTCCCTGATCTCTTATGCTCTGGCAGAATAAACAGATCTTTCTCATTGGTCAGCAAATTGCCTGTAAAGCAGTGAGTTAATAAATATTTTTAATATGAAATCAGTCTGGTGGGTGGGTCAGGCTACAGGGAAGCAAGTGAAACCTGTAGTATCCCCTTTTTTCAGAGAGTTGTAGTTGGTGCTAGAGATCTCTTCCCAAGCCCGCAACGTTGTGATCTTTTGGTGTGAGAGTGGGAGATAAACAGCTTGACAAATCAAGAGGTTGGGCTTTACTATTGTACTTGGCTTCCTTTTCAGAAATGGGCAAAATTTCTCCGCGATTTTGAGAACTTCAAAGCTGCTTGTGTTCCGTGGGAAAATAAAATTAAGGCGATTGAAAGTAAGTGTTTATCAGATCTCATTAGATGAGGGAAGTTGTCCTGGATAAATGTTTCATAAGTTGGTTGAATTTCTTTCTGAGTCTCTGGACTATTGGAAACGTTAAAAACAAAAAGCAAACAACATTTTTTCTCCTCCTTTGCACACTGTGAAGATTTACGAGCACTTACCAATCACAGCCCTGGAGGATTCATTCTCCCTTGCTTAGTTAGACCCAAACGGTCTCATTTTGAACTTGTTTTTTCTCCTCTACAGGGAAATTGGTATTGTTCACCATGATGTTATGTCATATCATTCGAAAGTCAGGGTTTTGGGTTTTTTTGGGGAATGAACATGACATTGAAAATACATACTCTTATGAATGTTGGCCAATAGTCAAAGAACAGTGTCCAAAAAGAGTGAAGAAGTCGTCGAGCCTCATTTTCAAAACTCTGAAGTAGAATAAGCGATAATCCTCCAGAAAATTGCTATTTGAATCTTCATATTGTGCTTTCATTGTGAACAATATTCATAGTATACAGAGAAAGCAGGATAATATACCCAATCAAAAACCTGTTTAGTACAGCCTTCTAGACTTAGAATAAGGTAAATTAAAAAAAATAAATAAATTATAAACATAATAGTAAATTATTTTTTAAAAATAGTAAAAACGTTAAGAAAGCAGGGTAACATTTAAAAACATGTGAGCATAATCTGGCCATATTCTGATTTCTAAGGGTTTTAATTAGGATCTGTTTTCCCTCCACGCCTCCCCAGATCTCAAGGCAGGTTTTCCTGCTGGTTAAATATGAAGTTGCATAATTAAAATGGAGGCTCCATAGGGAGATGACCCAGCTGATGGATATTTCACTGGCATGATTGGGCACGTTTTAGGAGTGGCTATCCCTTATTATTTCTATCTCTTGTTATTAAATAGAAATGAGTTAAAACACATTAACTCATTAATTGCAACCCCTTCCACACAGTCTTTGTACCATCTCTCTCTTGTTTTATTTTCCTTTTAACATTTGTTAAAATTTAAGATACTATATTTTTAATAATATAACTTTTTAACTTTTTGATATAATTTAATTTTATATTCGTGTTTCCCAATAGACGTGAAAGCAGCGATTTTCTTTTGTTTGCTCCTGTATCCCTGGACCTACAACATGCTTGGCATTTAATAAATGTGTGTTGAATAACATTAAATACAGACAGGTTTTCCAAATATCTACTGTTCTAGGAAAGAGAAGAAGAAATTTAGACACATCAATGAGAACATAGATTATGGAATCCTTAAGTCTTACAAACTGAAATGTGATAACTCGACAGGCATTGAGGAATAAAAGGCCATTTGTAGCATTGAGATCTTGATACATTTTGTGTAGAAATAACTCTGAATTGGGTCCTTGCTTTGCCATAAATGAGCTGTTTGACTTTGAGCCAATCATTTAATCCCTCTGGTCCTCAGTCTACTCATTTATAAAACTACACTGTTGAATCTTGATTGGTTGTGAAGTGTGTCCCAGTACATTTATAATTAATGATAGTTTAAACACATACATTTGCAAAATTATTTACTTTTAAAGTACACTAGAGCAGGTTCCAGCCTATCCCAATAATAACAGCATGCTCACTTGTATTATAATAGCACAGACACAGATGGAGTTATTTCTGTTGCCAGAAATTGCACACAGATATGAGTTACACATACGATCATCATCTATCATGTGTGTTACAGTGGGAAAACAGATTGAGAGCTCCTCAATAATACCTTCAGTTATCTCTCCTTCTCCCCTCTCCCACCAGTAAATTTGGAACAGCCAAGCTAGACAATTCAAGCAAATCTGGATTATTTTTAATTCCATTAGGTAATTTATAATTTAGTTAGATTGTCTGGATTTTACCTGTAATGGTGGTTTGCATCAACTGTGAAGAATTGAGTCTTACTTTCTATTCTAACAACAATAAACATACCACCATTTATTGAGTGCCACCATGAGTCAGAACCCTACAGACATCATTTCATTAGTTTTCAATGTACCTGCAATATACACGTTAACCTTCCTACTTTAAAGTTGTGGTTAAATAGCTTTCCTAGAATTAGTTAGTAGAAGGGCCGAGATAGAAGGTGAAGTCTCTCTATGCCCAAAGCTTGTTTTCTTCGCTACACGGCATGCTGCTTTTTACTACAAGGAAGATTTTGTTAACTCTTTTCTTTTTAAATATGTTTTGTACCAGGTCCTAAAGAGACTCTATTAGGCTAATGGAGTATAGGTAGTGGTAGATTTCCTTGTTAATTATTTTCCCAATCATACCTCATTCAAATACAGATACACAAACACTCATAGGCTCTACTTATCTGTAGACCTTTTTCCCCCCCCTTCATTTTTAGGAGTGTATTTGTTGTATTTCGTAAAACAGTGCTAATACATTTGGGGCATTATTCTTTCTGAAAGTTATGATTGTCTAACATATAGTATCTTATTTAATGTTCAGAATAAGCCTGAATTGATTGATTAACTAATTGAACAGATACTTACTGTCTACCACATACTGGGCATGTTTCTCGGCATTGGGGCTGTGGCACTGACAAAAAATAGGTAAGGATCCTATTCTCACTGAGCTTACATCCTAATGTGGGAATATGTGGGCAGTTGGGTGGGGTGGGTAGAGATACCAGATTATGAAATATAAACAAATAAATAATGAAGATGATTGTGGTAATGACATATTTAATAGAGGAGAGGCTGAGCTGCACACCCTATGGACCTTCTAATCAGTCTTGTCCTCATGTATGGCTCAGTATCTAAATAAATAGCAAACAATTGTTTTGTAAATATAGTTTTAAAGGTATCCCAAATCACCAGGCTGCACTTGTTTTCCACAAAGCTCTATCCAGTAACTGGCAGAATCAAGAGTAGAACTCAGGTCTCAGAGTCTAAAACTCATACTGTTCCCATTGTGCCGTTTTGATTCTAGTAAAACCTGGAGCCCTTTACTAGTATGAACCAGATAGTCACTTGTATGGCCTCCAACTATTTTTCTTTTCATTAAAAAAATAAAAAGAGGTTTGATAATTCCTTCCACAGAGAGATGCTGTGAAGTTGTACGTTACGTAGGAATATCACGGGGTTTTACTGTTATGCTAACCTTATCAAGAAGCCATATCTAAAACTCCAGGGTGACCCACAGGGATACAACTTATTAGCCACATGGCATTTCATATTTTTCTGGAGAAACTGCATAGCTTCACCTCTGGGAAATATAATGTATGCCCACTGTGACACCAGTGTTACTATTAAAACCATGAATGTCTTTCAAGCTGGAGATTCCAAATTCTTCTCAGAATTAAAATCTACTTGCTCCTTAATGTATATTACCGGTTGCCATTGAGTCAGTTCCAATTGATGATGACTCCATGTGCGTCAGAGTGGAACTGTGCTCCATAAAGTTTTCAATGGCTGATTTTCGGAAGTAGATTGCCGTCAGGTCTTTCTTCCAAAGTGCCTGTTAACCTTTCAGTTAAAAGAGAGTGCGGTAACTGTTTGCACCATCCAGGGACTCCTTAATGTAAGTTACAGCATCAAAATTATGGCATGATAGACCTATTTTCAGAGTGGAAGTAGCTTCAGAATGTAACAGGCAGCACTAAGCACAGAGTTCACAACTCATGCTTCTGTGCTGGTCTAAGGGCTCCAGAAAAAACAAATCAATTTTGTCATATTTAATTCCCTGTTGTACAACCTGTTTGAAAGAAACTGTGCATTGTATCCTAGCCTAATGTGATGGCATTTCATATTAAACTTACATAACAGGTTATTTAATGGGCATTTTACCATTTAGAGATGCTCCTATTCATCTGCTTATCTTATTATCCGTCGGTTGAAGAGGAAATTATACATGATGACAGACTACAAATTACTTTGCCTTAATACTGAATAAGCAGAGAGCGAGGGAAACTTTAACCTTAATTTAAAAGAAACACAAGACATTTCAGAACAAGAATATATGTAAGCGTAAGGCCTCACTTTATCACATACCGAAGATGCCATCTTAATATTTTAATAATTTACCATGGAAATAGTGTTTATTAGTCAAATTAAAAAAGAGAGAAAAATAGTTGAAATGGCAAATGTTTTGTTATATGTATTTTTTGTTTTATATATATATACACACATATATATATATTTCACTACAGTTAAAAATTTTTTTAAAAAAAGGTCATTTAAGGGCACCATCCAAATTGGTGAATTTGACTGGCCTTAGCTGATTGATGAATATTGTCTATATTTATTCTTTCATAAAAACATATTCATTGTGTATTTATTGTACATATATAGCTTTTTTTTTTTAATCTTCACTGAATTTAATTATTAATTCTATCTGAAAGGCAATATATCATTGTGGTTAAGAGAGATCTAGATTGGAATCAAACACTTGTAGAGCAAGACTGCCTGGTTTTGAATCCTGGCTCCATCATTTCCTACCTACGTAACCTTGGACAAGGCACTCTGAGTCTCAGTCTATCAAAGGGGTCAACAAAAATTCCTATCTCATAGGTGTTTGATGGTGATTAAATGAGTTAACCTACAGAGCTCAAGAGATATCTGAAATAAAGATTCATTAAATTTTAGCTATTATTATGCTTAATCAAGTCTTGGTTCAGTCAAATGCTGATTCCCTCTTTTGCCTTTAGGATATTTATACCCTATCCTAATAACACAGTGGCAGTTTTTTATTTTATTTTTTTTGTTTTTAGAAATTTAAAAAGAGGTCAACCTGTAAATCAACACTTTGCAAGGAATCAATTATTTCGAAGTCTGAACATTTGTTTTCTCTAAGCTCAAAAGAGAGACCTGTGTCTATTTCCCAGAGGCTGTGAATGGGGGCTGGGAGAAGGAGGAAGAGTAAAACTGCAAAAAGATAGGATGAGAAAAAGGAAAGAAAAAAGGAAGGAGAGAAGGAAGGAAGGGAGGGAGGGAGAGAGGGAGGGAGGAAGGAAGAGTCCGTGTTCTGTGCTTGGGACCCTACACTGAAGAGTCTCGTGTATGTGTGTGTGTTTCCAGGAAACAACTTATTCTGATACCGAGAGATGGAACTTCCCTCCAGTAAATGAGTAACTGTAATGACTAACAAGCTGGAAGTCCACTGCATTCAGCCTTTAATAAAACATGATGAGTGAAAACTGGCAGATGCAGTCCTCCAGTACTTGTTACCAGAGAACACAGACAACAGCCATGAAATGATAAGAAATCACTGGGAGCCAGGTGGATGATCATACGTCCTACAAAGGGTGGATCCGCTTTAGCATTTCTGCACACTGGCCAGTGCGTCTGGTTACAGCACCTGGGGTGCATGTTTTTCCAAACACACGCTCTTAGACATCTTGTAGAATTCTACACCTTACTACAATGGGAAATGGATCCAGGTCTCTCTTTTGAGCTTAAAGAAAAACAGATTTTCAGACTTGAAAATAATCGATTCCTTGCAAAATGTTCATTTACAGATTGACCTCTTTTTAAATTTCTAAAAAAAAAAAAAAACCCCAAAAAACTGCCGCTGTGTTATTGGGTAGGTAAGATGGTATCTGAAGGGTAGACTAAGTTCCAGCAATAGAGGTATTACTCTCATGGGAGGTCAGCCTCATCTTAGAAAATAGAGGTTAGGATTTGTTTCCCATGAACCCCTCCACTCCTGTAATAATGTGTCACCACTGGTAATGTTTCAAAGCCACGGAACCTAAGAAAACCATTGGTCACTGGAGGTGTGTGGCAGAATGAGACAGGACAAAGGGGCTGATGCAGGAAATGGCTGAGGCTGCTTGTTATTTTTCTTGAGCAACAGAATATGAAAGTTGAGAAAACTAGCAACTTGATTCCAAACCTTAAATGTACTCAAAAACTCTTTGGCTTTTATACATGAATTCTAATTACTGCTTTTTCTTCCTCTTCCATTCTCTGCTTTAAGAGAAGGCTTCCATTTGTTTCTCCGTCAGTAAGAATTGGACAGGTCGCTTTACTCTTCACTATTTTGGGTAGATGGAGTTGACAGAATATTCTTGCCTATCCTTTCCCAATACAATCCCAATACAATCCCACAGCCAAAGTGACATTTTTCTTTTAAATTCACCCTTCTATTACATAACGCTTGTCAATGACTTCTCATCACATTTTGAATAAAATCCTCACTTTTTACCTTAATGTAAGAGGCCCTACACATTGTGCCTTTGGGCGCCTTCTTTGTCCTTATATGTCACCACTTTCCCTCATTCATTGTACTCCAACCACACTGCCCTTATTTTGTTCTTCGATTGACCTAAGCTCTTGCCTCTCTCAGGAACTTTGTCCTTGCTCCTTCCTCTGCTGAGGTGCTCTTCAGACCTCTGGGTCTTGCTGCCTCTTCTTCACCTTCAGGCCTCTGCTCAAGTGTCATCTTCTCTGATATACCGCCCTCACCAAACTAAAGAAACCCCCTCAGTACCTTACCTTCCTCCCTGTAGGACCTATCTGACTATTATTATGCTATTTTTTTGCGTAACTGTTATTGTTCCCACACTTCACTAAAAAGTAAGTTGTATTATGGCTGGGAGCCTGGCTGTGGCATTGTTGTTAGTGTCTAAAAAAGCACTGGCAAAGATACATAGTAAAAATGTGTGGAGTGAATGAATGAATTTCCACTTCTACTCTACTTGTGGAATAGCACCAATGAGAGGAAACAGCACAGGACGATCGGTAGGATAAACATCCATTAGAGATGTGATAAACCTTTTTGAGAAGAGCATTGTTAAACTAAGAAAAAGGGGAAAGAACTGTAGTAGTTATCATTATAACCAGTTATAATTATAACCATAGCTAACTACTTGCCTGGCAGTGTAGTAACCACTTTACATTTATTTGCTCATTTACCTGTATTAACTCAAGGAATAAAATAGCCTCCTTAGGGAGCAGTAGGAGCTGCTAAGTTAAAGGCAGCTGTCTTTTGTATATACTCTGAAGGGTAGGTCACAACCATTCTACACAACTACATCTACATACTACATGCATAGGGGACACTTCTATCATGATGAACATTTTCTCTCCCTGGATAGAAAAAAAAAGAATGATAGAGGCTGTAAATGTGAAAAGAACAAACGTATAGCAATGAGCAGATATATTTTGGAGGGCGACCAAGACAGAGCTTGTATTTTCTTTTCCTTTGACCATCCTCCAATGTTTGTATTTTCTTCTGAATAGGTCAGTTTGGATCATCAGTGGCCTCCTATTTCCTCTTCTTGAGATGGATGTATGGAGTAAATATGGTTCTCTTTGTCCTGACGTTCAGCCTCATCATGTTGCCAGAGGTGAGTGAGACTCTGACTTCCAGTTAAGAAAACATGTTGAAACAGGTTTCTCATGTGACCCCTCTCCTAGAAGAGCCCTTTGCTCTTCTTTAAGAGTCGGGCAAATTGACTACATTAGAGTCATAGTATTATACTATATATGTATATATATGTATACACACACACACATACACATTTATATATACATATATATGGAGCTTTGATGGTACAGTGATTAAGCTCTCGGCAGCTAACCGAAAGGTCGGTGGCTCAAACTCACTAGCTGCTCCCCGGGAGAAAGATGTGGCAGTCTGCTTCTGTAAAGATTACAACCTTGTAAATCCTATGAAGCAGTTCCACTCTGGTTCTATAGGGGCACTATAAGTCAGAATCAACTTGATGGCAATGGGTTTACAAGTGATATATACGAATAAATACATAGGCTGGAGTTTCTGGGTGGTGTAAACAGACATCATGCTCAGCTGCTAGCTGAAAGGTTGGAAGTTCGAGTCCATTCAGAGGCACCTCAGAAGAAAGGTCTGGTGATCTAGTTCCAAAAAATCAGCCATTGAAAACACTATGGAGCACAGTTCTACTCTGACACACATAGGGTCACTGTGAATCAGAGTTGATTTGACAGCAGTTGGTTTGGTTAATATACAGATTAACCTTCAAAATGGTGCCTGTGGGCCAAGGGTCCTAATTGCTGCTCCAGAGGGTGTGTGAGCCTCCTATATTACATATAAAATGTTGTATGTATGTTTAAATATGCGTTTTTATGTGATGAGGGTTTGTGGCTTCTATCAGATTATCAGTGTAAGACCTGTGCCCAAATGTTAAGAATCACTGCTCAAGAGGAAGGCTTTGACACCTTGTGACTTGTGTTTATTTATTTTGCCAAGTTTGCTTTAGAAGAAATACTTCTTAATGCAACCCAAGGATCCAGGTTTTCTGTAGTGAATAAACACAGACTGAGCAATTTTTTTCCCCAAGATATAAATAAAGTTAGATGCCCCAAGGCACAGACACAGACACACACATACACACACACACACACCAGTGGGGTAGGGGTGGGGTAGAGTGTCTTGACACTAAAGTGAAAGAAGGGAGTAATGCAGATCGTGGGCCCTATCATGGATTGAATTATGTTCCTCCAAAAATGTGTGCATCAGTTTGGCTGGGTCATGATTCCCAGTATTGTATGATTGTGTACCATTTTACCATCTGATGTGATTTCCTTATGTGTTGTAAACTCTATCACTATGATGTAATAAGATGGATTAGTGGTAGTTGTACTGATGAGGTCTACAAGATTAGATAGTGTCTTAAGACAATCTCTTTTGAGATATAAAACAGAGAAGCGAGCGGAGACACACGGGAACCTCACACCACCAAGAAAGCAGTACTGGGAGCAGAATGAGTCCTTCGGACCTGAGGTTCCTACGCTGAGATGCTCCCAGACCAAGGGAAGACTGATGCATCACAAGGACCTTCCTCTAGATCCGACAGAGGGAGAAAACCTTCTCCTGGTGCTGATGCCCTGAATTTGGACTTGTAGCCTACTGGACTGTGAGAGAATAAACTTCTCTTTGTTAAAGCCATCCCCTTGTGCTATTTCTGTTACAGTAGCACTAGATAACTAAGACAGGTCCAGACAGAGGAAGAAGGCAAAGCCTTGAGCTGATGTGGGAGAAGTATTGACTAAAGCCAATACGCAAGGGCAAGGTTGGGGTCTTCATCCATATGAAGTTAAATAACTTGGAATCTTTGGATCCTACCATACAAAAGTGGGTTAGGCTTTATCTAACCTACAAAGTGCCTTTTCAGGTACCAGAATGTCAAAGTCAATTTTTTAATTAGAGCAAAATGCCAAAACTTGGTGTTTTAAGTGACTCTTTATCCCTATAGCTTTAGATCAGTACCAGTTTCTGTATCAAGCCTCCCCAATAGCACAATAATAATGCCTTATATTCATAACAAGTTTTTAGCTTTTAATAGTGTAAAGCACTTTCACTTCTTCTACTCACTGAACCTCACAAAAAAAAAATTGTGTGAATTATAAAAGTTTTCCTCCTCCCATTTTAGAAATGGGGAAACAGAATCACAGAGTGCTTTGTGACTTAGTGTTTCAGAAGGAGGTTTATTATTATTATTGTATTGTTTTATTTTTTAAAAAGATGATCTGGGACTAGGACTCAGGATTCTATCTTTTGTCCAAGATTTTGCATTCTCATCCACAGTCCTATAATCTCTGAGCTAATTCTGGGGTTTCTAAGGTTACTTGGCTCATAGAGGATGGTGTATCGTTTGTCTTCTAAGTGATAAGTTTTATATGATGCAGCAGAATGTATGTATTTTATCTGTTTTAAACTAATCCCAGCTTTGTTCTTACTTATCTCTCAGGAAACCTGAAGCTCCTCCATTCCATCACCCAGCCACTATGACACTATTTAGTGTCAGAGGCAGGATAGAAATGGAGTTTTATCCTATTGCGTTTACTCTTTCCCCCACACCATGCTGCCTCCATGTGGAGGAAATGAACTGTTGTAGCTAATTCATTTGAGCCATATGAAATTGGAGAATGCCTAATATATAGTGGATGGAGTTAATATATATTACATTGGATGCAGTCTTAGAGCTAGGAAGCATATTGACTTTGGATGCTTTTTTTACAGAATGGTGTTGGGTCCTAAAGGGCACCCTGTTTTCTGGTCAATGACAACCAATTCCATCAGGAGAACAAAAGGGGATGGGCACCCTGCATGCTAACTTTACAGAACCACCAGAGGCGAGTAATGGTCACCACCTGGTAAACAGGCTACATTGTTCAGCTGCCTCTACCAGGCAGCCTCACCTAGCATTCCTCCGAAGCAGGTGCCCTTTTACCTCAAACCCCTGGACAAGCCTGAGACCCTAATCTCCTCTATCCTCTGTGGCTCCCGACTTTGGGGCTTGAAAGTAGGTGAAGAGCCCACATTCTGTTTGTTCAGTCCCAGGGTACCTGAGGGGCCAAAGGGCTGACCAGGAAAGTCACTCAGCTTGAGCAGAGGGAGTGATAGCGGCTGAAATCCAGCCTGCACCCAGTAAAGTGCTGCACCCAAGCTTCAACTGCATTTGTTGTCTACCCCACCCTCAAGGAAGGTGTCATGGATTGAACTGTGTCCCTCCAACAATATATGTCAACTTGGCTAGTCCATGATTCTCAGTATTATGTGATTGTCTACCATTTTGTCATCTGATGTGATTTTCCTATGTGTTGTAAATCTTACCTGTATGATGGTAATGAGATTGGGTAATGGGATTAACGGCAGTTAGGTTATGAGGCAGGACTCAATCTATCAGATTAGATTGTGTTTTAAGTCAATCTTGTTCAAGATATAAAAGAGAGAAGCAAGCGGAGAGACGGGGACTTCGTACCACCAAGAAATAAGGGCCAGGAGAACAGCGTGTCCTTTGGACCCAGGGTCCCTTAGCTGAGAAACTCCTTGACCTGGGAAGATTGATGACAAGGACCTTACCCCAGAGTTGACAGAAAGAGAAACCTTTCCCCGGTAGCTGGCACCATGAATTTGGACTTCTAGCCTCCTAGACTGTGCAAGAATAAATTTATCTCTTTTAAAGCCATCCACTTGTGGTATTTCTATTATAGCAGCACTAGATGACTAAGACAGAAGGGAAGCTTTCATCTTCACATAAGGAGCAACATCTGCTTGGCAAGCCATATGCTTACGCTGGGGTCCCACTAGTTGCTCTGGAGCTGATTCTGACTCATGGCAGAGGGTGGAGGGATGCTTTTACCAGTTTTGAAAAAGGCATCTGGCTATGACCCTTTTCTTTTTTTTTTTTTAATTGTACTTCAGGTGAAGGTTTACAGAATAAATAGTTTCTCATTAAACAGTAGTACACATATTGTTTTATGACATCGGTTAACAACCCCACGACATGTCAACCCTCTCCCT